GCCCAAGGCTGCCCGGCTGCAGCTGTCCAGGCGGCCGCGAGGCTGCAGCTCCAGGCGCGGGCGCGGCTCCAGGGTCACCGTCCTCAGCCGGGACAGGCCTGACACAGCCAGGCGCCGGGGAGCCCCGGCTGACTGACGGACACTGGAGAAACGCCTGCAGCCCCCAGACCTGACGACCGCCCCAGAGTGTGTGCACAGGGCGTGACGAGGGCTCACTCCGTGACCACGGGTCCCGCGGCCGCCCCCAACGCCCCCGAACCCTGCGACCAGGGTCAGGACCCAGCGAGCCAGAACCCAAGACAGAGCCAGGACCCCGGGGACTCGGCCGGCTTGAATCGAGGCCGTAAAATTGGGCGGTGAAAATTGGGCGTAACGGCAATCTCGGTATCTGTCCACTTAGGTCCAGGGGCCGAGCCGAGTTGGCTGGGAAGGAGAATCCCGGGAGACAGACCAGGAACTGCTTTATTTTTTTAATTTGATGTTTAATATAACGATCATACCGTAGCACCAAAAGTGTCGCTCACGGCATGGAAGCCGCCCGTGCTGTCTCTGGCTGCGGCACGTCCTCCGCTGTAGAGGAACCGAGGCTGCTCTTGCGTCTCCTGCTCAGGGGGCCAGAAGGGAGGGGACCCCAATCCAGGCCCAGCCTCTCCTGGACCGCAGGCAGGGAACACGCTGCGGGTTCCTCGGGTGCGAGCATCAGCCACGGATGTCGAATGGTTCCAGAGGGAAAATGCAAAAGCAAACAGAGAACCTTTCGAAGCGCCCCGGAGGCCTTTGAACACGCGGCACAGTGCATTTATTTGGGTCGTAATAGTCTCCGCCAAACCCACAAAATGTTTACGACCCGCATCTCCGTGCTGTACATGCTGTAAAACTGGGGACTGGATTTTGGCTTAAGTCTCTCCGGGGTGTTTCTTCTCTCTCTCTCCTTACACACACACACACACACACACACACACACACACACACACATATACACACACTCTCTATCTCTCTCTCTCTCTCTCTTCTTTCTCTTTGTCTCTCTCTTGTCTCACATATATGTATATATATACGTCGATATTACAGACACACGCCTTCATTATATTTCCGTATATAGTTTCCCAACATCTAATTGTAAGAAGGGTTTTATAGCTTCTCCAGGAGTCAACCGTGGCTATGTATCCAAGCCGTAGATAGCTCTGTTTACGCAACTACAAATAAATGGTGAAGTCGCAGATCTATGGATGCAGAGAGAAAGCTCAATTTGTATAACTACAAATAAACGAAGTCACAGATCGGTGGTGACCGCGTCTGTCCACTGATCACGGAAGCCTCAGGTAGGTGCAGGCCGCCAGGGTCTCCCAGGCCTGGATGGACTGTTCAAAGGCGCCTCCCCTGCCCTTGGCAGGCTGGTGGCTGGGAGGCTGCTTTTCCTCTGGGAAGCCTGGGAGTGGCTTCCCCGGAGCAGGCTTTCACGCAGGGAAGACCCCGCACCAACTCAATCTCATTTGCACCTTCGGGGATAGGTTTGTCTTTGCGCCCAGGCCAGGGATCACTCACTAGGTGGGGAACAGATGCAGTCCCTGAGAGACGCACGGGTGGAAACCTTAAGAGAAGCAATTCGCCAACCACCCAAATCTCTAGAAGGCGCGATTCGCTGCCTAGAGCTGACTTTGCCCTCTTAATTTAATTTAAATATTGGACTATTTGGTAACAAGAAGTAGGGTGAACACACTCTGTCAGTAGGTAGGAAGGAAGCTCAGGGAGAGCAGTGGAAAATGTCTATCTAAAGATAGCTCGGCTGATTGGAAAAACCCACCTACATGTGCCTGCTTCAGGCCGAGGGTGAACGAGTATTTCTGTCAAAATTATCTCACATAACCTAGTACATTTGTGTCTTTTCAGTCAAATAAGTAGAGAACCAATGAATAGAGAACACGCAATTAAAGAAGCCTTATTGAAAGCCTGATTTTATCCGTCCTTTTCGTTTTAAATCAGACCACAGAGTGCAGGGAGAGAGAAGCCTGGAAACGAAAGGGAGGTTTCGGTGTCCGTAGAACTTGGCCCAGTTGGCTGACTTGGTTCCAGAAGGGCCGAAGCCTTGCGGGCGGTATCCAGATACTCTCTGGCCGGGGCAGAGGGGCAGTGCGTCCTGCCAGAACTTCTGGACGCGCGCCGGACAAAACCGGGGCAGGGATCAGCTGGTGGCGAGGGAGCCCAGCCCTCCCTTGGCGAAGTGCGTTCCTTCCCACGATCCCCGAAATCGCTCCCCTCTCTGGCTGTTGGACTGGGTAGGTTCTACTTCAAACACCAGTGCTGTCGGCCCCTCCAGCCGCTTGAGTCTAGACAGACGGCGACGGCGGCGGGGGCCTTGGTCTTTTCTCTTTGCGTCTTGCTCTGTGTCACCCCAGGAACAATTTATTGGTCTAAAGCGGTCTAATTCTGCCTCTTTGATCTCCTAGCCTTCTTGTTTGCTTCATCTTCCTTTAACTTTCTTGGGTTTTTATTTCCTTCCAGAAGGCGATGCGATTGGGATTATTTAGGTTTTTTCTTTCTGTCTTACTCCCTCTATTCTCCAGCAGAGACACGGTATCATCTGATCCGCCATAAAGGGCATCTCCGGATATCGTCCCCCGCCCCCTAGGGCTTCTATGTCCCCGCAGGAGACAGCCCAGGGCCCACCTGCCCCAGCAGCCCCCGCCTTCCCACTCAAGCCCCGGTGGTTCACTGCGCAGGAACTGGGGCTCCCTGGCATCCCGATCTGAACCATCCCTCCACCTTTTGTGTTCCCGGGACCCCCTGAGAGGGTGCGGTAAATTGGTACGGCCTGGACCCTCTGAAAGTGATGGGAAGTGCTTTGTACACAAGGAACTAAACTCTATAATTTACCGGAGAATTTCCGGGGCAATTCCATTGTGAGGTCGGGTTTATGGTATGTAATCGAGCTGGGCAGTAAAAGGTGGCCGGGCTTCCAGGGCGGCCCAGGCAGTTTATGAGGCGTTTAGGGAAAGCGTTCTCCCCACCATCCTCCACCGAGCCGTGGCGTGGGCAGCAGGGGCTTCAGCTGGTCCAACACGGTGCAGGGGTCGGAGGCCTGGAAAGGTAGGAATTGGAGTCCTGGATGGAAGGGACTGAGACCACTGTGCGCTCAGCTCTGTGTGAGCTGGTACTTGGATAGGTGAAGCCTCCACAGCTGGGTGGCCTTTGGGGGGTGGTCCCCTTATTTGTTTTTGGTGTCTTTAAAAGAAATGGAAGTCCACATAGGGTTGCAGTCCCCAGACGCCAAAAGCCCTTCTCCAAATCGGCTCTAAAGCATGTATTGTTCCCAGGCACCCAGGCCCACGATGTGGAGGCCTAAGGGTGGATGAGGCGAAGGCTGCTGGAAGCCTTCCAGTGTTGGGAGTGCCTGGAAGGGTGCGGGCCTGAGATTTCTCCAAGCTGGGGAAAACAGCCCTGGCTCCCGTGCGCCTGAGGGGGACTAGAAGTTGTGGCAAGGACAAAGGAATCTTTAGCCATTTATTAGTCTCTTGGAGCCAGCCAGGTGCCCAGGAGCGAAGGCACACTGCCTGCAGCACTACAGCGTCCGGGAGGAGGGAGGGGAACCCCACTTTAATAAATCTGTTGGCAAATGAGGCTCATTAATAGATAAATATTTCACTGCTTCCTTTAGGGCGGATAAACAGTGTGCCGCCGATTAAGTAAAGGAAGCTGGAAGACGTTGACTTTATTCGAACCACATGGTTCCACTTTGCGGTGGCATTCTCGCTGCAGCTGCCAGCGACGCTGCGCCTTCCCTGTCGGGATCCGAGTCCAAGTCCGGCCTGTCGCCCACCAGCCCTGGGTGAGGGAAGACGGGCAGAGTCGATCTGCTCATAGCTGAGTCCTGTCCACAAGGCCACCGCGGGGCAGTCTGGTGCGCCGGGACAGAGACCCTACCAGGGGCTGGGCAAGCGGACAGGAGAGGGACGGGGAGGATCCCCAAGCTTGGTCTAGGGCTCACTAGCAGAAGTGAGGGGCTGCGCGGGGCCAGGGCTGCGCGGGGCCGGGGCCGCCCGGCGTTCGCAGACCCCAGTGCCCGCGTTGGCTGCCAGCTGGGCGCCCCCGCCGAGCCTCCGGGTCTTTTTCTGCAGGACGCGCCAGGCCCACCGAGCGCGGGCGGATTCGTGGGCCGCATATTTGAGCCTCTTCCCCTTCCATTCTAGGCGGCCGCGGGCCCCGCGGAGAGAGACCACCTGTGAGGGCTGCTGAGATTGGCGGAGGCGGTCATGTGGGCGGTCACGTGCTGCGGCGAGCTCCGTCCAAAAGAAAATGGGGTTTGGTGTAAATCTGGGGGTGTAATGTTATCATATATCAAGCTACCTCGTAAAACCGACACTGAAAGCTGCCGGACAACAAATCACAGGTCAAAATTATGAGTTCTTCGTATTATGTGAACGCGCTTTTTAGCAAATATACGGCGGGGGCTTCTCTGTTCCAAAATGCCGAGCCGACTTCTTGCTCCTTTGCGCCCAACTCACAGAGAAGCGGTTACGGGGCGGGCGCCGGCGCCTTCGCCTCTACCGTTCCTGGCTTGTACAATGTCAACAGCCCCCTTTATCAGAGCCCCTTTGCGTCGGGCTACGGCCTGGGCGCCGACGCCTACGGCAACCTGCCCTGCGCCTCCTACGACCAAAACATCCCCGGGCTCTGCAGTGACCTCGCCAAAGGCGCCTGCGACAAGGCGGACGAGGGCGCGCTGCACGGTCCGGCCGAGGCCAATTTCCGCATCTACCCCTGGATGCGGTCTTCAGGTAGGCGCAGCCGCTAGACGGGCCGGGCTGGCGGAGCGGGAGCGGGGAGCGCGGCGCTGGGTAGCGCGGAGCGCGGGGCTGGGAGAGCGGATCCAGGCAGTTGCGAGCCGGCAGCCCCGTGACTCCCGGCGCAGCCTTTCTGGTTTTAATTAGAGCGGAGGCGCCATTGCTTGGAGCCCATAGCATTGTATGTAAATGAGGCTCATAAAACTTTTTATGGCCCAATTAATGGGTTCGATCCTCGTAAATTTATTTAACTCCATTTGCCTTAGAATTTTAACGTTAAGTTTGTTCGCTATTCTCTCTCCCTTCTCTGTCACCCTCCCTGCCTTTCTTCTCTCCCTCCCTCCACCTCCTTTTCCTTGCTGCCTGGCTTTTCTTTCTCAAAAGCCGGGAGAGCCAAGCCCTCCATGGCCTCTAATGCGACCCTGTGCCCGGGGCCATTTCAAGATGGGCGTGAGGAAATGAAGACAGAGGGTCGGGGTGCCCTAGGAAGGTCCTGGGGATAAGGGCTCAGGCTGTTGGGAAGGGTCGCCCACTTGCTTAGCAAGGCCTGGGAACAGCCGGGCTCATCTTTGAATGGCAAAAGTGCAGCGTCTCCCGCTTGCCCACACTCTATATTTACAGTTTCCCTTTGTCAGGGGAAGCAGGACATTGTGGACGCTTAGCCGGCTGGAAAGGTCCGTTGTAAAGTTGGGTTTCTGCGCCTTTGCTCATTACAGAGCTGCCTGCGCGTCTGGCCCTGCAGTTCGGGTCTTTCCCTAACACTCTCCCTCCTCCCCTATCTCTGTTCGAGGCCTGGGGCAGAGGGGGATGCCCGCCTGGAACTAGGCCAGGAGGAAGGTGCGGGCTCTGGGACAGCAGCCTAACGAGTGCCCTATCTGCTTGTCTGTCCTGTGTTCACGTGTCTGCATGTCTGTTCTCAGGACCTGACAGGAAGCGGGGCCGCCAGACCTATACGCGCTACCAGACGCTGGAGCTGGAGAAGGAGTTCCACTTCAACCGCTACCTGACGCGGCGCCGCCGCATTGAAATCGCCCACGCGCTCTGCCTCACCGAGCGCCAGATCAAGATCTGGTTCCAGAACCGCCGCATGAAGTGGAAGAAAGAGCATAAGGACGAATGTCCTGCTGCTGCCGCAGCTCCCGAGGGCAATGTGCCCTCTGCCACCGCCAGCGCTGCCGCGGACAAGGCCGACGAGGAGGACGATGATGAAGAAGACGAGGAGGAATGAGGGGCCGAGCCGGGGCCCTTGCTGCACCGGACAGTCGGAAAAGCGTCTTTAAGAGACTCACTGATTTTATTTACAAAAATGGAAAAAATAAAAGAAAATGTAAAAAAAAAACAAAAAACAAAAAAACAGAAAACCTAGTCCCCAACCTGCATTCTACCCTCCCCATCACCCACTCCAGCTCCCAACTTTTCTGGACTGAGCGGCCACAGAGACTAGGTCGCCTTGGATTCCCTCGTCTCTGACGACCCCAACAGACACCCCCAGTCCCAGGCTAGCCAGCCCCGCGCTGGCGCGGCCAAAATACTACCTAGCACAGGCCTCCGCTTGAGGCACCCCCAAACTACCTATGTATCCAGCCCCAGAGGGCCTCCATTCCCAGGAAGCCCCTATGTATCCCAACACTGGCAGACACCCAGCACCACCCTCCCAGACCCCCAAGAACGTGAATCTCAATACTACCTACTCCCCTAAAACTACCTATTTCGTGCTGGCTGGCTTGCCTGCTACCTAGTGCCGACTGCTCCCAGGAAAGACCCCTGCTGCTTATAGCTGGCAGCCTTTGGGGTCCCTGAGGCTGCCCTGAGAATGTGCTGAGGTCCAGGACCAGGGTAGTGGCATCTATTTAAATTGAAAAATAATATATTTATTCCAAAAAGCATTATAAGTGCTGCACCCTAGAATCCCTCCTTCTCTGGCTTGGCACCCAAAGTTCAGGCCCATCACCCCCCACTTCTGGAGGGGAATGTTCCTGGGCTGGCTGCAGACCTCTGGGTTAGCTTCTGCTTAGTAGGACTGTGGAGATGCTCCCATCTTCACTGTCCTTTCCTCTGGCTCCCCTATCTTGCTGTTCAGCTGTGTTAAATATGTACACCCTGACGTTTCCTATAATAACAAATACTGTATATTTGAACAAGATTTTTTGGGTCATTTCTATAGTCTTGGAGTTCATTTGTAGGGCAGCGTCTTGACTTGGAAAGAATGTGTTATTGGGGTGACTTTGTAGCATGGTGTGTTGTCTTGAGCTAACTGTAGTGAGTGGGGAGGTCCAATGCCTTCCTCAATGCCCTTCATCTCCCGTGTTGTCCTGTATCTCCCTCAGCTACATCCTGGGGTTCAGGGAAGGCACACTTCCCAGCCCAGTTAACTGTGTTTTATGTAACAGAAAAATAAAGATGCTTGGTGACAAAGAAAAATGTGGACTGCTTTATCCAGAGGGGACGTGAAAGGGGAGGTGAGCATGGCTGGAGGGCAAGAGGCAGTGAGGAAGCAAAAGTGGGGTGGCTGACCTTGTGATGGTCCAAGTGTTGGGTGCCCATGTATTGGCGTCATGTCTCTTTGTATGTATTTTGTATGTGTATTTGTATGAGTATGTGCTTATTTTTTCTGTATGTATCTGTGTGTGTATTTTTTCCTAATTCCACAATTGCGTATATTTTAGTGTCCATAATTGGGTGCATGTGTTTCTGTGTGTCCATAATTGCATGCCATTCTGTACCCACAATAGAGTGTATGCCCGTCCCTGAGTGCGTAATTGTGTATGTGCCTTTCTCCGTGTAGAGACGTTTATCTGGTTTTTGTGTGTGCGCTAACATCTAGATTCCTTGAAAACGGAATCTTCGGTAGATAGGTTATGCTATGAACCTCCCTAAAAACCTTCATAAATTCCACGAGGAAATTTCAAACCCACCCTTTCCTCTAAGACTGCGCAGTGGGTTTGGAAAGGGGCTTTACGCAGCGACTGATTCCGGATTTCGCAGGCGCCCTGAACCCAGCCCCAGGCTAGGAAATGGGATTTTTAAGGCCCCCACCCCGCCTGCAGCCGAGGCGAGGGCGCCCCAGAGTCCGACACTGCAGTAGGTGGCGCGGGTAGGGGCTAGTACCGCAGACACCCGCTGGGTTGTACTGCCAGGGCACGGGCAGGGGCGTCTGGGTGCGGGGAAGAGGCGAGAGGCGAAGGGCGAGGGATTGTGGTGGCAGCTCAGAGCATCCTGTGTTCTGCCGGTAAGACCTCGTCTCCAGGTTCCTGCCTGGGTTGGGCCCGCTTCTTAGGGCTCTTTTAATAAAACCCGGCCCAAAAGGGTCTATAAAACCTGAGGCCCCTAGTCGGGGCGGCCTCAGTGGTAAGATGGCGCCGGTGTAAGAGCTGCCTCCTCTCAGTGATGGGGAAAGGGTCATAAATCCGTTGTTGTTTATGAAAATTTACAACTTTGCAATACAACTTTATGAGTTGTTCGGCCCTTCCATTGGCCGCTGTCGGTCATGTGGATGGGAACCGTGAACATGAACTTTTTTATAATTTCCCTTGCGAGAATAGAGCCGCATTCTTTTGCTCCGCTCCATCCTGCCTGCTTCGGAGCTCTGTCTTCCAGCCCGGCTCGGCTGCGCTTTGTCCGGCAATGGCGAGCGAGGGAAAGCCCAGGCCAAACCAGGCCTGGTGGCTCCTGCTGGAGGTGGGGCGCGCCCAGTTCCCGGCGCCTTGGCGGCAGCTTTGCAACTCACAACCTGGCTAATTTCCTGCGTCCTCTGGCACCAGGAAGGAGGACAATTCGTCTCTCGGGCTGCCCAAGCGACAGCTGTCAGAGGGGCAGGAGCTTCTGGGAGCCGCCATCTGAAGGTGAGACATGTGGGGAGGAGATAGGAGCAAAGGTGGTGAGGTGACAGCCGGCAGCGGCAGCGGTGGGAGAGGGTACCCAGGGAGGCTTTAAGAGGGGCATACTCCCCATCACCCGTACTCACCCATTCACACTCACCCCATCACACACCACAACCCAAACACGTCCACACACACACAGATACACACACACACACACACACACACACACACACACACACATTTCTCTCCCCTCCTTGGCTCGCCTTGGCAGTAAGTGCCCGCCTTCCCTCGGCCCTCCGTGGCGCAGCGCCCAGGCACAGGGCAGCAGCCCTTGGGTCTTCTCTCTCCTCTTCCCCAGCGAACCCGTGAAGCCCAAAATGAAGTGGCCCGCATTCTGTGTTCCCGCTAGCCCCTTGGGTTTGGATTTTATTTCCATTCATGGCCTAATTTGGTTTTGTTGGATTCTCCAAGAGACCATTCTCGACCTGGGAAGGTGGGAAGAGGTGAGGGCAAAGTGCATTAATCCACTGGCATTTTATTAGCATCATCACAGTACTTTCTATTCCTGGGAAGTGGTTTCAGAGAGAAAGATAGAATGGGGAAAACAGACAAAAACTTACTAATTCGACCAGAGTTCTCCGCTCGTTGCCGGCTTCCCTTCGCCCAGTTTTTCGATGAGAGAGGTGTCTGAAGTGCTGGGAGAGGGAATAGGTGCGTGGGTGGAATTCTGTGTTGGAGGAGAGGATGGGGTTAATTGGGTGTTACTTGGTGGGAAGTTTCGGTGCAGAGGACGTTATGGTGTTAGCGCGGGTGGCAGGGGCCCGCAGCTAAGGTGGAAAGAAGGATGCAAATCGAGTCTGGGCGGTAGGGGGACCCCCCCCAATCCACCTTGGCGCAACGGACTGGTGACCGCACTCCTCACCTTCTGCGAGCAGGGAGAGGACTGTAGAGCTGCCGGGGAGGAAGCGCGGAGGGTGCTGCTGGCGGTGGCTTTTCTTAGCGTGGAGGCTCGAACTGTAGCTCGGCCTAGGTGTGCATCAGACCAGATTTGCCCCAGGAACTCCCCGGACAGAGACAAGAAAGGAGCCCGAGGTTCTTTTTGTTTGTTTTTGGTTTGGGTTGTTGTTTCCCCATCTTGAGACAATATCTTGGTATGCATTAGATAAAGAGGAAGGGGCTGTGGATGTTTGGGACGTTCCCCTGTGCTCTGGGTGCGCTCAGAGCGGGTAAAGCGGCGTATTTGCATCCTAGGGCCTCTGGCTTCCTGACTGCGGCTGCCGCGGGCGGATTATTTATTGCGACCGCGCTGGCGCTCGCTGCTGCCACGCTGTGGCGGTCGCCGGGACCGGCGCCAGCCGCAGCCTGCCTCTTACAGCCTGGCCGACTGCTGTAGGGCCCCTCAGAGATTTCTAGCAAGCAGGGGAGAGGGGGACGAAGGGGGACCTGGGGGGCGATCACCCTGAGCCTATTTGGCCGGGAAATCTCTCTGCCTCGGCCACCCCTGACCGCAGCTGGACGCCGGTATAGACTCGGGTCCTCCCCCTACGCCCACTCCAGCACCATGGAGACTGGTTGCACAGGCCGCCTGGCACGTCACGGCTGCTTCTGTCCAAGCTGCGGGTCCCAAGGCGCCCTGGGGGCACACGCTGGTTCAGGGAACGCTCTGGCTTTGGAACTGTGAAATCGGAGAGACTACCTGTAGTCCTGAGGCCTGTGGGCCTGGCTGCCCTGAGGAGGATTGGCTATGGCAAAGGAGGCCGGCTTTGGTTCCTGGCGAGGGCCTGTGAATGGCAGAGGCCGCACCTGTGCGCTGTGGGCTGTGGCCTGGCTAGCGATCTGGCTGGACTGAGGTGGCCTTCAAGGTCCCACACCTACATAATCTCAGGCCACCCTCCAGGCTGGCGGAGGTGGAGCTGTTCAATGTGCAACCAGGGCAAGGGCAGACAGTGGGGCCCAGCTCGCCATCCTACCCCACCTTGGAGAGAAACTGAAAGGTAAGTCGCTTTCTGCGTGGCTTTGGCAGAGAAGAGAGAGCCCTGGGGTGGCCATTCTCACCATCTCAGGAGAGGCTCTCTGGAGGGTGTGGGGTTCCTATTCTTGCTGGAATGTCTCTCTCTCTCTCTCTCCACACACACACACACACACGCACACACACACACACACCCCCCTATATGTGCATACCCGATTGGAAAAATAAATTGGTCAGCTGCCAACATGATATGCACTAACCTTGACTAACACGTAAAGGTTCCAATGTAATGTATATTTTTCCATCTTAGTGCCTACAGAAGCTAGAAATATGTTTTCTGGCTCTTAGCTGAGAAATCAAATTCTCTTGTTAGTTGGAACAATGATTAGATCGAGAATCCTGGTCAAGGCATGACAAACAATAATCATAGTAAATTGACACCGACCCCAACACTGTGTGGGACATGGAGGAATGCAAAGGAAATCGTAAATGTAAACATTGATTGACATCTCCAAAACAGTTGTTTTCATCTTAAATAATAACTTGCTTAAAATCACTGTTGTCTGATAATTTTGTTTAAGAAAAAATAACGCAAACATGATTTTCTTCAAATAGCTATTTTTTAAAGTCCCTTTTAATTTTTTGACTCGAGTTTTCATTTTCACCTATTGAATTATTTCCCTGAAGTAATGTGGAAATGTTCAATTCTATCCACCCAATTCCAACCTCTCATTCGAAGCCCTTCTTTATCTGCACAGGAAACCCTTTCCAGGCTGGACTGACTGGGGAACAGGCACCCGGCTTCCAGGGTTGCCCCCATTGCAGGGCTAGCAGCCGCCTTCCAGGAGTGCCTCTTGGACTCTGTGGAGGTCGACCTTAGGCCAGTCCTTTTCCAATTTTTTCCCTTGGGGGGAGGAGAGCTCACCAAAAGAATCGAAAGCAAGGAAGACTAAGTCATTACTAGATTCCTACCGGAACACTGCCAGTTGCCCCCTCCCCACTAAGTTCTGAACCCCGAGAGCCTGCTCTGGCCAGAGTTTTACAGATCTTGTAAACAATCTCCAGAAATCCGTCCAAATCACGTAGTCTTTTTTCAACCTCCACGGAATTGAGGTTTTTAAAGCTAATTCAAGGGGTTTTACAAGCCCAACAACCACAGTTGTAAAAATGCCATTGGGCTGCTATTACATTTTACAAAACGAGATTGATCCATGTGCTGTAAAAGTCAACTATCTCGAAGGCACACCTCTCAGGCAAGAGTGAGCAGCCCAGGACAGGCTTTTCCTGTCCTGTCTGGGGACAGCCAGGCCTGGGACAACAGTGAAAGCAATTCAGGATTTCTGGAGCCAGTGAGACAACATTCCTGGTTCTGGAGCCACTGCAGGGCGGCAGCCCTCCGCGGTCCCAGGAAGGGCAGTAAAGAGGACGGCCCTAGGACAGTGCTGGCTGTCGGGCGCCCCGGAAACCGAGCTCATCAATTATCCCCGCGGCCTTGGGCCCCGCAGAGCTGCCTTCTGTGCCCAGCTTGGCCAGGGCCCCTGCGCCTCCTGTGCCTCTGGAATGAGGACAGAGAGATTCCACACCTGGATTTTTATCTGCCTCAGCTCTGAGCGGTTCTCCCCACGGATGCCGAGTCCCCAGGCGCTGGGTAGGGAGCAGGTACCTCGGCTGGCTTAGGTGCCCAGTCTCACGGCCAGCTGCTGCTCTGTCGGTTCTTTCTTGTGGAAACGAGTGGTTTCTGGCCTCTCAATTCTCTGGATTCAAAGGTGGGATGGGGACGACCGGCTGGAAGGGCTGCTTTGAGACCAGGCAGGCTAGGGTTATTGAGCCCTTTGGGACTCAACCAAGATGTGTATGTGGAGAAGAGAATGGGTGGGAAGAACCTGCGTTTGGCTGAGTCCTGGTCAGCTCGAGGTGAGCCTTCAGCTCTGGCCTGCGAGGCCCAGGTCCCTGGTGAGAGTGGAGAAGGAGAGACTAAGGGAGTTCACCGATTCCTAAGGCGCAGGAGTGAAGGGCAGGGAGTTCAGGCCTGGTTTCTGAGAGCCCGGGCTCCAGCTCAAGAACTCGCACCCACGAATAGGGGAGCGCTAGGGGAGGGGCGATTCGGGGCCGTGCCTGGAGTGCGGGTCGGCTGGGAGCAAAGCCACTTTTGTCACCGCCCCTCCTGGCGCGGGACCTTCAGGTTTCCTGTTTAGAGGAGGAGGGGCGGGTAACCTGCAAAATGCAATAAAGCAAAAAGGGGAGGAGGAAGGAGGGAGCCTGGTGGGGCCTTTGTGGCGGCCCCAGCGCTAGTGTCCCTACTCTGGCCTGATCTCTTCGCCCCTGAACTGGCCGTGCCCGCCACTGGCGTTCGGGAAGAGAGCCGAGAGCCGGGCCGGCTGGCTATGAGCGCCCATTAATCTGCCGGGCGGGCGGCGGGCGGGCGGGCTGGGGGCTGTTTGTAACTTTGCTGCCTCGGTCGCCGCGGTCCCCGGGGAGCGGGCTCCGGCGCTCGCTCCCATTGGCCGCTGCCGCGTCAGCTGGTGCGATTTGCTGCTGTCGCTTTTGGCGCTCGGCCATCCAGAAACAAACCAGTTCGATGACTACTAATAGTTATAGCCAGATGTACTAATACACAACAAATCACAGTCCTGCAGAGGGGCGCGCAAATGAGTTCCTATTTTGTGAATCCCACTTTCCCCGGGAGCCTGCCCAGCGGCCAGGACTCCTTCTTGGGCCAGCTGCCCCTCTACCAGGCCGGCTATGACGCTCTGAGGCCCTTCCCGGCCTCTTATGGGGCGTCCAGCCTCCCGGACAAGACGTACACCTCACCTTGTTTCTACCAACAGTCCAACTCGGTCCTGGCTTGCAACCGGGCATCCTACGAGTACGGGGCCTCGTGTTTCTATTCTGATAAGGACCTCAGTGGCGCCTCGCCCTCGGGCAGTGGCAAGCAGAGGGGCCCCGGGGACTACCTGCACTTTCCTCCCGAGCAGCAGTACAAACCCGACAGCAGCAGCGGGCAGGGCAAAGCACTCCATGACGAAGGCACCGACCGGAAGTACACGAGCCCCGTTTACCCTTGGATGCAGCGGATGAACTCCTGCGCGGGTAAGGCACGTCCCAAGACAGTGGAGGGAGAGGGGAAAGGAGGCAGGAAGAGAAAGAAGAAGGAAATAGAGTAGAAAGAGGAATAGAGAGAAAGATAGGAGAAAAGAACCAGCAAAGTTTCTTCAGCTGCTTAAAAGAGAAGAAAAAATCTGTTCCCAATGGGGCAATCAGGCAATGGCAAAGGAAGGGCAGGGCCCCAGTGTCCATGTGAGGTGACACCTTAGGGGAGGATGAGGACACTGCCACAAATGTGAGACCTATGACAGGGACAGCCTGAAGAGAGAGGGGGACTGGTGGGGAGGACTGCCTTGTTCATGCATCCCAGGTACCCTGCTCAGCTTCCCAAGCCAGAGGGCCTTCTGCACCGCATCACTGATAAATACCCTTTGCTTCCCAATCCCCTCTCCTTTTAGCCCCTCAGAAACCCATACAAAGAGAGGTGGCCATTTGGCCTCTTCCAGTGTCTCCCCAAAGCCTTGGAGGGCCACAGCCCCAGACTCAGGATTTTTTCTCTCTCTCCTCCCTCCCCTCCTCCCCCTTCCACTCAACTGCTCACTCTTAGCCAAGTTCTGCCTTCTTCTGAGCCCATGCCTGAGCTTCATACACCTGTATTGGAGGGACCCCCACCACCCTTAGGCATCTTTGGCACCAGATCAGACAGTCACACAATCCTACATTGCCAGAAATCCTAGACTATCTATAGCTCCATCTCTTAGACTCTGGTTTCCAAAGACTTGACAGGAAATCCCAAAGACTCCTAGGAATTCCCTAGGACAGAGCCTAATGAAGATTGTTAAAATTACAATGTTTTGCATTAAAATCTACTTTATCCCTGATGGATTCTGCATTTCTCAGAAGGGTCATATAATTTGGGAGAATGTGTAAAGATTTGAGAGGGCTGACCATTTTTAACTTTCCAAAAAATGTGTTGAGTTCTGGCATGGCTGGTCACAATAGCATCCTGAGAGACCACTATGAATTCAGAGTGTGTACACTACATACAGGGTCCACACCACCCACCCCCAGACACACACACACACCTACACACACACCCTGCATCCCCACAAAAACACTACTTGGGTGTCCCAAATTAAGAGTGCCCATTCTATTTTGCTTGTAATGGTTTTCCTATGAGGAAGATTTTTCAAAAGCAATAAAATCCAACCTCAAGTCGTTTTAGGTGGAAAACATCTCGCTTGGTATGAAATAATCTCCCATCCAGTCCGCTTTGGGCCCCAGATATAGTGGGAGAGGCTGGAGTGGACGCGGGGTGGTTTCCAGGCAGGAGGCCCCTTGTGGGAGGCACTGGGCTGACTGGGTCGGCTGTCCAGACCCTGGCTTACCGGCGCCCGGCCATTTCTGCCCGCAGGTGCTGTGTACGGGAGCCATGGGCGCCGAGGCCGCCAGACCTACACGCGCTACCAGACGCTGGAGCTGGAGAAGGAGTTCCACTTCAACCGCTACCTGACGCGGCGCCGCCGCATCGAGATCGCCAACGCGCTCTGCCTCACCGAGCGCCAGATCAAGATCTGGTTCCAGAACCGCCGCATGAAGTGGAAAAAGGAAAATAAGCTCATCAATTCCACGCAGCCCAGCGGGGAGGACTCAGAGGCAAAAGCGGGCCAGTAGACCCCTGGGCAGGGACCAGGCCAGCGCTGCAACCTCCTTCGGCTTTGCCCCCTTGCCCTCACCTGCTCCCCAACTTTTCTCTCCGCCTGCTCCCATCTGGGGGCTTCTGCAGCTTCAGGGGAGCTCGGAGCTTTGCAAGAGTCTGTGCATTTATTTCTTACAAAACAAAACCTCACACACAGCCAATACCAGCGGTGGAGCGGGACGCACTGCACACACAGTCCCGCTCCACAAGGCTGCCCAAACCCGCTCCGGAGCTCCAGGGTGCGCCCTGAATGCGTCCGGAGCTCCTGTGCTAGTGCCTCTGCGCTCCCCGACCTCGGGACAAGAGGCTACTAGGGAGGAAAGAGCCCTGGGCCGAGCCCGGTTTCTCGTCTGGGCGTCTCTGCCTAGGTCCCTCGCCAGGAGGTCCCGAAGGGCACCATCAAATCATCTCTGGCCAGTGGAAAGAGGGGGTCTAAGTGCTGGGTCCCGGCGTTGTCTCGGCCTCCCAGGGCGCCTCCCAGAACAGGAAGCTTGAGGAACAAAGGGGGGCCCAACAGAGCCCAGTCTCTCGGCCTCGCTTGCGCAACCGTCAGTGGAAGAGAAGCTGCCTCATACGAGGCGAGCTAACCTGGGCGCAAGTGGTACAGTACAGTCCGGGGACCGTCTGGGCTCCCTCAGGCTCCCGGCTCCGGATTCCCGCTCCCTGACACCGATAGCGCCCGCGTCGCCGCCACAGCAGCGTTCAGGACCCAACAAGGGGCCCGGGGCCATGGAAGCCTCCAAAGTCCTGGCTTCCAGAGTTGCCAGGGGCGCCTGCAACACCGGGCCTCCAGCCGGGAGACTCCACTTGCCTGTCAGCTGTATTTCTGATTTACTTGTGTCTTTCGGAGCCCTGGAAAATAACTACGGAGATCCTAGGCACTGCCACGAAATGCTTCCATTATCGCCCTCATTTTACTCCTGGAGGTCTAAGCAAGACCCCAGTAACCCAGCCCGCGGATCCTCAGACCCCAAGCAGCCTCTGTGGCTGCAAGGAGCCTGGGCCCACTCGCTGAGTTCAATGGGAACCCTCCAACTTGGGGCCCGGCTGGCTCGAGGAACCAGACCCTGTGATGAAGATTTTCCAAGCTGGATACGTAAGCAAATCAAATAGCAAACTAATGACACGAAAACCATACTCACAAGAAAGAAAAATCGACTACGGTTATAAAAGTGTATGGAATTTGACCTTGCTTTGGAAAAACACTACACAAAAGCTATCTTTAATAGACGCCTGTCATTTAAGAGCGGCAGGGACACTGTCCCTCATGCGCTAGCAAAAACAGAGCCGTAATTGTAGCTGCTGCTGCTGCTGCGGGCAGGATTTATTTCTCCAATTGGCTAAATGGCTTTCCCCCTTCCCCGAAGGTGGTATCTGTATTTTCAAAATTCAGAGCTGGCGGCAGGACGGGCAGAACCGACCCCAACCTCGACACAAAAATAAGAGGCGCTGCAAAACGGGGGAAATAAAGTTGTTGCAAATAAAATGCAGGTCACCACCTCCCCCCAATCCTCTACATCCTCACCCGGCGCGCGATCGGCAGCTGACGGCCTAACAATTGGTACATCCTAATGGAACTGCGAGGGAAATGCAATAATTTTGCCATAATGGGCTGTAACCTCAATTCGACCCCAGCCCTTGCAACCCCGGGTCGGAAGCGGGGCGATGCGCCCTAACTCCAGCGGGTGGCGCTCGAGTCCGACTGAACGGCGGCAACGGGCGGCGGGCACGCGCCCGGGGCGCGCGCGCCAACCCTCTCGCCTCCACCCAACTCCCCCATTAGTGCACGAGTTTACCTCTAGAGGTCATCAGGCAGGATTTACGACTGGACAACAAAAGCACGTGATTCGAAGTCGTACCCCATATTTGGGTGCCTACGTAGGAGGGAACCAAGTACATGGCCCAGTCATTTCCATAATTCATCATAAATTGTGCAAGGGTGCTATAGACGCACAAACGACCGCGAGCCACAAATCAAGCACACATATCAAAAAACAAATGAGCTCTTATTTTGTAAACTCATTTTGCGGTCGCTATCCAAATGGCCCGGACTACCAGTTGCATAATTATGGAGATCATAGTTCCGTGAGCGAGCAATTCAGGGACTCGGCGAGCATGCACTCCGGCAGGTACGGCTACGGCTACAATGGCATGGATCTCAGCGTCGGCCGCTCGGGTTCCGGCCACTTTGGCTCCGGAGAGCGCGCCCGCAGCTACGCGGCCGGCGCCAGCGCGGCGCCCGCCGAACCCAGGTACAGCCAGCCGGCCACGTCCACGCACTCGCCTCCGCCTGACCCGCTGCCCTGCTCCGCCGTGGCCCCCTCGCCCGGCGGCGACAGCCACCACGGCGGGAAAAACTCCCTGGGCAACTCCAGCGGCGCCTCGGCCAACGCCGGCAGCACCCACATCAGCAGCAGAGAGGGGGTTGGCACGGCGTCCGGAGCCGAGGAGGACGCCCCTGCCAGCAGCGAGCAGGCGAGTGCGCAGAGCGAGCCGAGCCCGGCGCCGCCCGCCCAACCCCAGATCTACCCCTGGATGCGCAAGCTGCACATAAGTCATGGTAAAGCCAGCCTTTTTCTAAATCCACGCGACCACGGGGACGCGGCTCTCGATCCCCTCTCTCTTCTCTGCCACCCTCTCCCAGTCTGTCTCCTGGTATCATTTCTCCCAGCCCTGCGGAGTCTCTCCTAGCCATTCTCCTTCTCCTGCCTTCCTCCTTCCTCCTTTTCTTTGCAAACACTCTTCGCTCACAAATAATGGGGGAATCGGGCGCTGGCCGGGCCAGTTTAGACATTGAAAGGGGGAGGAAGCAAAAAAAAAACAACCCTCTGAACCCCAACGCCTTGTAACGCGCTCCCCGGTCAGGCCAGCCGAGCAAGGCACAGAGAGGTAGAGGATGGCAGTAGGAGCCGTGAATCGGGCTTGTCAGGACGGATGATTTATGAAGAGGGTTACGCTGGGGAAACAGCGTTACTAATTAGAGCCCCGGAAAAAGGGCTTGGGGGGTAAAATCGAGGAGAGAGCCGGCAGGATTCTGAAGTTTGGGGGCAGGAGGGAGAGAGAAGGAAAGTGAAGAAAAAGAAAGCAGGCGCCCCAAGCCTGCAGGCTGGCCACTGGAGGCGGCTCGCGGGACTGGAACTTTGAGGCAGGGTGACCCGAAGGCCACTTGGGCGCTCAGGAAAGGGCCGTGCTTCCTAGGCTTCTGAACGGTGGGCAGCCTGGGAGGGCTGTACCTCCCGATCGGGGCGCCCGGGGCAGGGCGGAGAGGGCAGGAGTGAGGCCAGGGAAAGCCGGAGTCCTCCGGACACGGCCCCAGCCTCAGAGGGGCGGATTGTTCCCAGGGTCCAAATCGTATTGTTTTCTCTCTAGAAAGGAAGAGGGAAGGAAATTCGGGAGGGGTGTGCGGGCTGGTAGGGAGAACTTGTTGAGCCTTTCGCCTGGGTTCCCTGCTCAGGACACGAGCTTGTCCCCCTGGCGGACTTTGGAAGCCAGGGGGTGAGGAGTTGGTGGCTAAACCGCTGACTTTTCTATTGCAGACAACATAGGCGGCCCGGAAGGCAAAAGGGCCCGGACGGCCTACACGCGCTACCAGACCCTGGAGCTGGAGAAGGAGTTCCACTTCAACCGCTACCTGACCCGCCGAAGAAGGATTGAAATAGCACATGCTCTTTGCCTCTCCGAGAGACAAATTAAAATCTGGTTCCAAAACCGGAGAATGAAGTGGAAAAAAGATAATAAGCTGAAAAGCATGAGCATGGCCGCAGCAGGAGGGGCCTTCCGCCCCTGAATATCTGAGCGTTTAAAGTACTGAGCAGTATTAGCGGATCCCGCATAGTGTCAGTACTAAGGTGACTTTCTGAAACTCCCTTGTGTTCCTTCTGTGAAGAAGCCCTGTTCTTGTTTCCCTAATTCATCTTTTAATCATGAGCCTGTTTATTGCCATTATAGCGCCTGTATAAGTAGATCTGCTTTCTGTTCATCTCTTTGTCCTGAATGGCTTTGTCTTGAAAAAAAAAAAAATAGATGTTTTAACTTATTTATATGAAGCAAGCTGTGTTACTTGAAGTAACTATAACAAAAAAAGAAAAGAGAAAAAAACACACAAAAAGTCCCCCTTCAATCTCGTTTAGTGCCAATGTTGTGTGTTGCACTCAAGTTGTTTAACTGTGCATGTGCGTGGAAGTGTTCCTGTCTCAATAGCTCCAAGCTGTTAAAGATATTTTTATTCAAACTACCTATATTCCTTGTGTAATTAATGCTGTTGTAGAGGTGACTTGATGAGACACGACTTGTTCGACGTGTAGTGACTAGTGACTCTGTGACGAAAACTGTGACTCCAAGCGGTGTGTCCCTGCGTGCCTTTGTAGGACCCTTTGCACGAACTCTGGAAGTGGCTCTTATAAGCGCAGCTTCAGTGATGTATGTTTTTGTGAACAAAGTTACAAATATTGTCCAAGTCTGGCTGTTTTAAGCAAACTGTGATCAGCTTTTTGTTTTGTTTTGTTTTTTGTTTTTTTGGTATTTGTTTTTAAGGAAAAAATACTGACTGGAACAAAAAATAAACTTTCTATTGTAAGTTCTCTTGGTCTGGTTTGTGCCAAATAGTGAGTGGCTCTGTCTGCTTTTCTGTCTGTCTGTTCAGTCCTGGAAGCCCGTAGGTCTGAGGCTACCTGAGCAGATGACCTGTGCAGGGAGACCTCAGACCAACACTGGCCCATCGCCTCCCTAACTCTGACCCATCACAAAGTGCAGGGCAGAAGGTGGGAAAAGCTGCAGGCAGTTCCAAAGCCCGAGTCCACCCTGCCCATCTCTGAGGAACCAAGTTAACTTGCTGGGTACAAAACAGAGAGACAGAATGAGAAAGAAGGAGAAAAAGCCCAGGGCTTTGTTAGCTGCCCTCGGGCCACACAGACCCTGCCTCTTTCCTAAGGCTGTCCTAGGCCTCCACTTGCTGGAGACGCTGCTCTGCCTGGCTATGGTCCCCAAACCCTCTGCCCTTAACCCGTCCCAGCACCCCTTCCCCACTTTTCACCCTGGACCCAGTTGGCTTCTTTTGCTACAATTAATTTGCTACAAATGGAAGGTACTTACCCCATCCTAGCTCGATTGGGAAACTCCTCAGAGCAGCTAAAGCGCAACTAGAGATTTGCACATTTACCGACTGCTTACACTGATGCCGTCTTTCCTTTTAAAAGTTATAAAACAGTAAACTTTATAAGCCCCAGTTCCGGCTATATGACATTTGGGTGCCAAATGAATAGGGTTTTGTCTATGAATTAGATCGTAAAATCATCCATAGCACAGACAGATCGGCTCACTGGCTATAAAACGTCACGTGGGGCCATTAAAGTAAGTTTTATGGTTTTGGGGAGTTGACATCCAACATTATATACCACATAACATATAATCTCACTAACGCTGGACTCCATTTGACTCTTTTGCAGGCTACGTGTGCTGCCTGGCCATTCAAACTGTCAATTTTAGGTCCAGAAGTGTCCAAACCACAAGTTCTCAAAACTCCCTGAAAAATGGCTCCCTCCGAGTTAAGGTAAGCTCGCCTCTTGAGTGCTTTCAAGTTTATTTGTACTTTGGAAAGTTTCTTCCTTGCTCTCTCTCTTTCTCTCTTTCTCTCTGGTTCAATAACTCTGAGGCTGCCTCTGAATTCGAAAAGGCAGGACAAACTTCCCCCTGCCCAAGAGAGCAGCGCCAGGAGCCAGCTCTGCGGAGGCAGGAGGGTGAGCAGCGCCTGTGACCGCGCGGCATCCTCAGGCCTAACTTTAATTGCTGCACAACCGCGGATGTTAATAACTTCCGCTGCTCCCGCCGGCGTGCAAAAAGATGATTTTTGTGTGCGAATGGGCCTGTGTGTGGGGACCGGGCAGGGCCGCAGCCCCAGCCCTCCGCGCAATTGCTGGGCCGGCCGGGCCGGCTTCTGGGGGTCACGGAGCCTTGAGGTGGGGGCTGGGAGACAGTGGGGCGCCAGCCGCGGGCGCCGAGGGCCGCGCTGAGCTCAGGAGTTTGAAAGAAAGGCCCGGGCAGGGCCGAGGCGGACTCTGGAGGGATTCCTTACGGGGCTGTGGCAATATGTCTTCGGGGCCAGGGTCTTTGGCAGGGTTGAACTGAGGCGGCGGCCTTCGGGGTTTCAGCTCAAGAGAGCCGGAGGGTGGCAGAGGCCGGCGAGGCGGAGGCTGCACCTCCAGGCTGGGCCCCTGGGTTGCGAGGTGGAGATTGGGCTGCTAGCGCCCACCGGACCCTGGGGACCAAGGGTCCCCACCCTCCTGGGGGGTGCTCAGCACCCCCTCCCCCGCACCCGGGACCAGGCCCTGAACCCTGTTTGCTTGCACGTTCTTTTTATTTCGGTGAGACTGTTCTCACCCGCCTGTGAGTCTGAAGCAATAAACTTTATGGCCGGATTTAACTTTAGTCTTTGAATCCTCAGGCTAATTGAAAGGGGTTAAAGCACTTTCTTTTCTTTCGCCTTGCCTTTCTTCTCCCTCTCTTCTTTCCTTTTCCTCTCCTTCTTTGTAGAATTAAAACATCTACGCACAGGACCCTCAAAAGGCAACTTAGGCAGCCCCCTAGATGACATTAAAGATTGGAGAAATTCACTCCCCCTCAACATACAGGCGAATTCTCTGTTCCAAACTGTGCTCTAAAGTTTGGGGGGAAATTGAGGTGTCTTCAATGCCCAACTTAAAAATCCCCAGAGCCATTAGGTTGTTTTTCCTGACACATCGTAAACGGTAGTTTAGGGAAGAAATTGGTCCTTTGTCAGTAGGAGATTTCCGCCTTTCTTTTGTTAGCTGCTCTTTCTGTTTGATCCCAGGAAATTTACATACTCTATGATTTCCAGAACAGTCTCCACAATTGCACCAATGGGTGAAGTAAGGTGAAATAAGTTTATCCTGGGTACAGTTCCATATTGGCCCCAGTCACCCCTTCTGGCTCCAATCCTCCATATTCTTCAATGGCAAAACCCAAGCCCAGTAACTGGGGACTATGTGGCCTGTCCTGGGATCTTTTTTCTGGATGGGTACCCACAAGGGACTCAGTATATTTCCCCCAATCCTATTTTAGGAATTAAGGCAAATTCTCCTACTGCATTCAGAAATGAAAGAAAAAATAGGATCTGCTTTTCTCCTTAAGAGCTGGGCAGTTTTTGGCGAGTATTAATTGGTAAAGATACCTATTAAGTGCTTAAAGTGAAAACACTGAAAGTATAGATTTGAAATTTCAATAAAGTTTCTTGTGCAGAGGCCACCTACACTCAACATAAGTGCAACAGATGTCCCCAAAGTCAGAGGTCCAGAAAGCAAAACCTAGAAAGTTTTTTTTTTTTTTTTTAAATCGAAACCCCCCCACAAGCCCAACTTCTCATGAATTGTGGCAAGGTAAAGAATCTTAAAGTCATCGTGTGTAACCTATTAAAGTGGACATTGGTATTTCAGCAGTCAAGAAGAGGTGTCCACATCTTAGTGGGAACAAGAATATAAACTCTACATGGGTATGGGCTCTCTTTAATAATGTTATGTGTCTGTGAGAATACTGGATTCTTTGTTTTGCTGCTCTGAATTTTGGGCTCCTTATCGGAAAATATTGGGTTATGGTTCCATTTTAGTTACTCATTTGGTGATCTTGCTTGGAGAGTGAAATTAGAAGCAAAAAATAAAATAAAATAAAATAAAAATAAGAGAGAGTGAGAGTGACAGGGGTTCTGACAGTTTAGTTGGAGTAACTCACACAGAAAGCATCCACACTACCTTCATGGCTATATTCCACCTTGGGGTGTGGGAATGAGCAGAAAGCCTGTTGAAGTCATTTCCAGCACCACATAACATAGAGAATGTTTCCAAGGAATGAGAAAAATTACAGGCTGTAAATATTGTCAGCTTGCTTATTTCTGTCTGTTTTAATCTTCACAAAACTTAAGTAGAATTTAAGGGAGCAGGACAACCCACATGGCCACATGGAATTAAATGACTTTTCAAAAATACAGCATGCAGTCAGACCTATGTATTATTGGAGGGTTTTTTTTTTTCTTTCTTCCTATTTTCATAGGAAGCATAATCAAGAGGATGGCTGGTTTTCTGCTCATTCTGTAGATAAGTTATTTCTTTTGTGGATTCTTGGGTTGTTCTTGCAGAGGAACTTACTAAGAAAAAATATTGAGGTCACTGAGGGCTTTATGAAGACACCCAGCCTCAGCCGGTGGCAGAAGTGTGTCTGTGCTTCTCTTCGGCAGCAATGTGCAGGGGCTCATTTGTTTCCACAAACTGAAGAGACAATATTCCTGAACTATAAATACAACAGGAAGCTTCTGGTCACACTACTTACGGGTTTGTTAGGGTTTCCATGGTCTAATTTCACAACATTATGCCAAGATTCCTTTTCTCCTGCTCTTTCCCCTGCTTTATTGTTGGCGGTTCTGGGAGAGCAAGACAGAATTTCCTACCAAAAACAGAGTCCTGTTCATTTGTTGAGATTCTGAGAGTATTATATCCAAATAATTAGTGAGTGGAAAGCAAATCACATCTTAAAAGATGGGCAATTGAGGAGGAAAACTATCCTTTTAACTTAAAAGATGCCCTTCTCAGCCTCTCCCCTGCCTTGGCTGGGGGTCTGTCCATGGCTTGCCCACCATGGAGAGTGCAGAGCATTATGGGCTCCATCCCTTTGGTTTCTAAGAGGAATTTCCTTCTAGTCAATGGCAAAACTATAAACGGGGCTCCCAGGCAGGGCTGAGGGGGTCAGCCTAAGCTCCCACCCACATAGGGGAGGGGATCCACAGCCCCAGCCATTCTAAGCCTCAGAACTTGAAGGTCTGCCCAGGTTTGTTTTGTTTGGTATTTTTCACAAATCAATTTGTTATTTTCCTACCAGGTCCCCTCCCCACAAACCAGTCTTTTCAATAATAATATTTGTTATGAAGGTTATTAGATAATTATTGCAATTTTGTGAAGCAGCCCTTGCTGGAGGTGAAGTCTGTCATTGCCTAACAAATGACGCCCGCGCAGTTCACTGCCGGGTTAAGTAAATGCAGAGAAGATAAATCTGCACACCCTAGGAATCGCCAGCAGAGCACGCTTTAGTACAAGTTC